CTTAACCAACCACGCTTAATGACATAATTTTATTTTTGGAGGCAAATGGAGCAAATTGGGGTTAAAAGGGAAAGCTATGATTTGTATCGTTAAACGCTAAAGATTTGGCAGCTGGTAGAGATTATTTTGTGTCTTTGTGTTTAGGCACTTTTACACATCACAGAAAGATTATTTTCAATTGCACTTATTTATATTCGGTGGCTGGGAGGCCATGAGCACACAGGAAAGCAGGAGGCAGGGAGAGCAGCATCAGCAGCAAGAGGAGGGATCAGTGAGAACAGATGGAAGTGAAGCTGGGGTTGAGGTGGGTTTCAAAGCAGCTCGCCGAGCAGCTTGAGGGAGTGGAAACGCAAAAAGGTACCTGCTGAGCCAGTGGTCATGGGCTGGCGCTGACATCAGCTCATTGGCTGGAATTTCTTCTAAGATGAACTTTGTGGCCTGCCTGAACTGATGCTGTTGAAGTGTCAGTCAGCTGCTGCAGAAAAAAAGACAACTAGTGTCATCATTATCACGTGAGTGAGCCTCTTACATTTACATCTGTGTATGTGCTTGCACAAATACACATTTATGTATGTTTTGCTCTCTCCAGGCATTTTATTCAGCAGTTCCAATCGATAGCGCTGTAGATTGCAGAGGATCCCGCCTCGCAGTTAGACAAAGTAACCTAGCAGTAAGTTAGCCGGTAGTGGTACAGGTCGTCTACTAATCGAAAGGTCAGTGCTAGCCCTCTCTAAATAAAAGCAGGTGAAGTAAAGATAACTTGTAATTGGTGGCTAATTGGTTTTTCTCCCCAGTCCTGCATAATTCTAGCTGCAAAGTTTGGAAGAATAACTGCACTTCGCTTCTCCTCTGTGGGAATATTAACGAGGATGAGTCGGCAAAAGGAAATCTTAAATAGTTAATAGCCCCAAATCACTGTATTTATGCCTTTCGTCGTACTTATTGTTTAACCTAAAAAACAGGAATGTCAGGCTCAGTTTTTACTTCTTTGATGGTGAGATTAAAGTATTTGTTTAATATTCTGTAAACTCCTGACAGGCAAATAATCCACCAGTACAAACGCTTTCAGACACAACCTGAGCATTTGAGCCTAAACTGCAGTTTCAGCGACTGAATGCAGTGAAATGAATGAATTATCTGCACATCCTGTGTAGTGATGACGTACAGCCCTTCAATATTACGTCTCCAGGTCCAAGCCTCTGCTGCGTTGGCTGAAACTCTCATCCTTTCAATGTGCTGCAGTGCTGTGTGCCTTGTTTCTTGAAAAGAGATGAATCCTAAAAGCTATTTGGTTATCATTCTGCCTGTTTTTTTTTTATATACAGAACAATTCAAGCATAGTGCACCTTTAGGCGAGTTTTTAGCCCCTTAGTCTAACATATTTGATACGTACAGCTTTTCATCATCAGAAAAACCAAAATAAGTTGCACACGACATCTTAAAACATTTTTTTAAATGCCCGATTTATCAAATGCGATACAAATTAAAAACCATTTATGGAATTAACATGTGCTTAATTGTTTAAACACATTTGTCAGTTTGTTCAGTAAACGTATGTTTCAGACTCTAAAAGGTTTTAAAAGCACGTGTGGCCCTCAGGCTCACCGACAGTTTAACGCCTTTCAGAGTAACTAAAGTTTTAATATGAACATCAAATTCACATTATTATAGCAAATACTTCAGAGAAAGCAGCAACACGTGAATTACTAATACTCATGTCTGGATGGTGTCAGCTCAGAGGCTCTCTGGGTTGAAATTTTGTTGCTTTTGGTGCTTTATTTTATGGCATCTGACAGCACATCGGGCACTTCTTAGGTCTTTTCCTCACTGATTCATGTTTGATTGACACAGTTCCTCTAATGTCCACGTGAGGCTCCTTAATCTCTGTCTAACTTCTTTGTCCTGTTTCTCTGACCACCAGCCGATTACACCAGAACTGAACTGATTTAAACATCCATGGCTAATGTCACGGTGGTCATGCCCATCTTTTACAGTCTATGCTCTCAATGTGTACTTTTCTTTTCTTGTCTTGTCTGAGCCATGACCTTTTAAATGAGCAGCCATGTAGTAACCATGCTCAGGGGGGCAAAAACATCAATAAATTAAGTTAACAATCTTAACTTCACTAACCATCCAAAACATCACTGCTTAGTCTATTTTTTTCATCTTTGCTATTTACTATTATTATGGGCTTTTTACTGTTTATTATATGCGATCAAACAAGTCACAGCATCATTGGGACATGCAGTGATAAGTTTGTAGAATCTCAGCATTTCACTCCACGGTATCTGTTCTCATATTATCCCCAATAAAGAGCAGCCTTTGTAAGGGTGGAAATGGAGAGCTGAGAGAGAAACTCAAAGCCAGGTTTCAACACTAAGGTTGTCGAAACACCTAAGAGCAGCTGTGAAGCATTTGGAAGTCCCAGTATTTTCAATCTTGTTCCCAGTGAAGAGAAATTGGTTTCTGTTGGGTTTTACAACAAGTTGACTATGGTACACATAAGGACACACAGCAGGTTGGCTTCATGCTTTTGCCCTGAGGCAAAAAAAGAAAAGCAGCTACGCGAGGTTTCATCAGACTACAGTGCAGCAGTCCTATTTATTTATTTATTTATTTTTTGCTTTGTGTAAAATGTATTTATACTCCTCTGTGAGTCACTCTCATTCAGGCTATGGACTTTACCTCTGACAACATGACTGTTCATGTTGTACAAGCTGTCCATAGAGAATATTCCAGTTCTCTGGATGCAGATGAAGCTGTAGAGAAAAATATATGGTTTGTTGTAACTCAGCTGTTTGACTGCATGTGGGAGTCATCTTCAAGACTTTGAGGAGTTTCAACAGTAAAGCAAAGGTTTGGGAGCAAAAGAAGACAACTTTGGAGGACTGAAACAAAAATATTCTTCATTACATCCAACAAAACATAAAATGATATCTGAATTTAGGTGTGGATTTATGTGTTTATCAATATTTAAATTTAAATGATGTAGTCTTCCAATTGATTTCTTCAAATCTGAATTTAATTTAGGCATTGATAAATTATTTTTTTGGTCCTGTTATATTAATAATAATAATAATAATAATAATAATAATAATAATAATAATAATAATAAATTAGCCTTTTTTTATATAATTTATTTGCTTTTTTTTATTACTGGCAGTTTTGGTCCAACACAGAGTTGTTCACAATGCACATGGTAATAAAGTTGAGTTTTTTTGTGTAATTTGTTATGAAAACTGAGCCTTTGGTTTGAAAAAATGCACCAAAATTACAGGGAAAAACTGTCATAAAGTGGGGTGATCTGAACACTGGCTGAACAGCTAGCTTTGGTCTGAAATGGATCCAGGTAATTAGAGGCAATGTAAATGATAGTCGACCTGAACACAGAGAGAAGTCAAACCCTGGCAGTGTTCAACCAAATTACGAGCAGCTGTAGTGGAACAACAAGCAACCATTTTTCCTCACCGGCTGCTTTAAAAAACAGATTTTCTCCTGCGTTGATGATGATGACAGCAGCCTGCTGTGATTCACTCAGGTATCACATATATGGATGCACACGCCCCAGCATGGATGGAGAAAGAGTTAAACAGTTAGACTGAATGAAAGAGGAACAAGAGATTAAAATGTGGTGAAAGGAGGGAATAAAATAGGATCAAGAGGAGGACGAGAGGACTTTGAGAAAAAGAGAAGAATGGAATAAAAGTAAAAAAGACTCGTGGCAACATGAAGGGACTGTGCTTCAACCTAATTAGACTGCAAATTTGTTTTAACGTTTTTTTTAACGTACGCCACTGGAAACCCCTCTTAACCCAGTGTTGTAGCCTTCCATTTAATGGGACCTTCCCCTCCTAGGAAATGTATCTGCAGGTCGGGTTGAAGCCGCCAGCAATGACTAATCAGCGTGGAAGGTGATGGCATGGTTATGTCAACATAGATTTTCCGCTGAAGCATAAATTGGACATTAATGACATCTTCTCATTTCTTTTTACTTTGTTAGTTTCCTTGCGTTTTTTTTCTCCTGTTTTTGTCAAATTCAGTCACTTTAATTTTAAACTGTGTAATTTTAAAACTGTGTATGTACTGTATATTCTGTGTATTTATTATCTCACTCTTATTGCCTGTTTATGCCTTGTCCTCATCTTCAACATCATGCAGCTCTGTTGTATCGTAATTGCTCCTTGGGGATAAATAAAGTCTTCTGATTCTGAAATAATCTGTTGTGCATCTCCCATGTTATATTCTTGTTATTTGACTTTTATTTTAAATTTCGGCATATTTTTTGACTTCATCATTTTTTGTGGTCTTATGTTGGTCCTCCGTACACCATTCCTATGACTGGTCTCATAAAATAATGTTTAAAGCCTACATTGTTCCACAATTTAGAGAATACTAGTCTCACAATAAGACGTAAAATTATTATGCCTACTTTTGGCTTGTGGCCTTTATCAGGATCATCATAACACATGTGGGCTTTGAACCACATGACCACATGCCAAAAGGTGTGTACTCCATTCACTGATATGTGGCTGTACACGATTTGCATGTGCTTTAGAACTGTGGTCATGCCCATCGTTCCTATTTTATGACACATTTCTTAATAAAGACTGCAACTTGAATGCATTGGTCTAGCAATTAATTTTCCCTTCAGATCTTTTTTCTCTTAACTTTGAAAGCATTGCAAAGCTTTGTAAAGTGCTTTCCGGTGCTGTATAAAGGACTTCCATTTACTTGTCGATGTTGAGGTGTTTTCTTTCATTTTTACTGGCATTCATAACTGCTGATATCTCATTCTTTATGTTTATTTACCGCTAAACATCAGCTATGTTGCCAGTGACCTGTTAAGGGTTGTATTACCTTCACATTTAGCTCTTTATATGGAACTCATACATGTTTGGCATTTCCCAAATGAAAGTGGTTCACCGGTGAAGTCACCTTCTATAATCTTTACAAATTTTTTTTTCTGGTAATAATCCTTTTATTCCTTTTTCTTTTCATAGCTACTTGGCAGTAACTCAGTTCAGTCCTATCCATGCCCGGAAGGCCTTCCCCTGCTTTGATGAACCTGTCTACAAGGCCACATTCTCCCTCACCCTCCGCCATGACCCACAGTACACCTCGCTGTCCAACATGCCGGTGGAGAGCAGCTTGCTGTCGGATGAGGACGGCTGGTTGACCAATCACTTTGCCCGGACTCCTCGCATGTCCACATACTACTTGGCCTGGGCTGTTTGCAACTTCACCTACAGAGAGACGCAGACGGACAGCGGCGTGACGGTCAGTCCCAACACACAAATAAACACTGACCACTACTGCTGTTGATGCTGTATTAGCCTGTTGAGGAAGTTATATCTCTTCTAGTGATGGCTTATTTTCAGAAAGCATGAGGTTTGTAACACAACTCACAGACTCACAGCTACAGGCGTAAAAAATTGAACGACGAGAGCAGAAGCACAAACGAGCGCATCTAAAGGTAAACACGTCTAATAAACACAATAAATAGACACGAGACTAAATTCATGGAGGCAAAATAACAATCTCATGATCCAAATTGAAATATCTCTTTTCACAGAGCGTGGGAATTAAGCTTTTGTGGTTCTCTAATTCATTTTTTAAAAAACATTTCTGCTGTGATCTTGACTTAATGGTCTCATTATGTACCAAATACCAAATGTTGTTGATTCGGTGGCAGCCCCTTTCTTCTTTTCTTCTGTCATTGCTGCTCTGTTTTCTTCTGGGACTTGTGTTTGTCTTGAGGCTGAGAGAAAAAACTCTTATGATGAAACCTGTGTGTATAAAACATGAAATACAGCAGTCTGTTCTCTCAACATAATGTCACATTTTAGCCCCCCGTTCATCTCCAGACTAAGTTTCATATCATTGAATCCTAATCTCTGGAGTTAAGACACTAAATATGAGCACAACCGTTTTCTTCAGACAGTAATTGGCATAATGAAGTCCTGATTTGGGAGTACGGGTTTTATATTTCAGTGTACCCAGAGAAAAGGAGGACAGAATATCACTTTTGAATTCAACATAATTAAGGCAGTTTACCAGTGATGTTAGTGCCAATATGTATCATAATCATGCTCATGCAAATAAATGAACTGCTATCTAAATGTGGTTATGAAGATATCTGTGAGACTATAGAATGTTTGGTGGTAACCCTACCCTACCTGAGCCTATCATTTGGAAAAAGTCAAAGTGGAAAAGTGGAAATGGCCTGTGGTTCTGTCATTGTGAGGTTTGGTTTATATTCTGGTATTATATTACAGTGGGGCAAAAAAGTATTTAGTCAGCCACCGATTGTGCAAGTTCCCCCACTTAAAATGATGACAGAGGTCAGTAATTTGCACCAGAGGTACA